TGAAATAAGTGATGAAACTTGCAAAAGATATGGGGTATCCGGAAATCCTTGTGAAAGTGAATAATGGGGTGGATTATGAGCATGTTTGAAATGTTAAAGAAAAGGAGAAATGTGATGTTCAGGCCACACTTGATGAGGGTAAAATCCACCAAGCCTAAATGACCATACCTTTACACTCAGCCCCATTAAAAGACTTGAGAAGACCTTTGCGATTTTGAGTGAGCTGAAACAAATGTTGATTTGGAAAATAAGGGCAAACCTATGGGTGAAGTCATGCATGTGTTCATCTTTGTGAGTATGAGAGTCGTATGTGATTTTGAAACTATAAATGGTTGAAGAACTGTGTGTGAATATGGAATCATCCTTTGTGTGAGGACATTTGAGTACCTTTGTTGAGCTTGAACTTGGATTTGAAGCAAGTATTGTGAACTTGAGCATCTTTGATAATGGTGAGTCACAATTTGAATCTTTGAGTGCACAATTGAATCATTGCATGAGTAAATTGAACCTTGTTGTGTGCATTCATGTTAACTCTTATGTAGCACTGTTTGAGACATCCTATTTGAACTATTGAACTTGAGGACTAGGAAACATTTTAAGTTGGGGATGTTGATGAGTCCGAGATTCGGACTCATTTAGGGATTTGTTTTGATAGATTTTGTGTCCTCAAATGCTTAATTTGTGCCATAAACTGATCATAAATCCTTGATTTGCAGGTACATGGATTGAGGAACAACTTAAGGACACCAACATGCAGAAAGGAACAAAACAACTGAAGAAATGAAGAAAGTCAAGCCTGGTGATCGCCAAGGGCATTTTTCGAATCGCCGAGTGGCTATCAGATCGCCTAAAGTTCCAGTGTGCCAAGCCCTGAAGGAAAGAACCAATTCGACGACGAAAAGGAGCATTCGGCAGATCGCCGAGTAGTTCCGCGAAGCCAAGATAAATCACCCAAAGTTACATACCTTGAGAATGCTGAATGTTAAGGCGAAAAGGCGATGGAAGAGATCAAAGGGAGGCTCACCGAGTGGTTCGGCAAGCCCGATTTACTTCACCGAGTGGCCCTTCGTGGCTTATTCTCAGCGACTATAAATTATATTTTGAACATTAATTTAGTATCAAATTTTTATGTTGGACATAAAATTTGCAATATATTTTAGTCTAGAACAGTTTTCTAAAGAGACTTGAGGGTTTTGAGACTAAATTTGGAGATTTTGCAAGTGGATTTCAAATTTTCTTCGAATTGGAGCATTGTAAATCTTGAATTCCTCTTACCCAGTTGATGGATAATCGATTTGGTAATAGTTTTCATCTTTTTATGATGTTCGGCTAAAACCACAATTCTTGGGGTGTGATCATGTGATTATGGGCTGCATTAGTTTATCTGTATTGCTAATTACTAGTTTAAATTCTATTTAAAAGTGAGTTTAATCATTAATCGTGATTTAATTTAAGAATTGTAGTTGCAAATGTAGTTCTATATTTGTGTTCTTGGCTTGCTCGAGAGAGGTTTTAGAACTAAGATTATTGATTGATGGTTTGTGGGTATTGGGTTGATCTGGGTTTAGCTCGAGAGAGTGAATTCTAAACCCAATCCCACACATTTAGCTCGAGAAAGTGAATGAATTAAGGTTTTGGCTGGTCTTCATTGTCGTGCTTGTTGATGATTGAAAGAAATCACATGATTCGGGGTAGTTGTTTGAGAGAAAACTATCTCTCTTATAGTCTGACCTACTCACTGAGATTTAGTTGTTTACTAGTAGTTGCAATTACTCATGTGTCTATATTTGCTTATACTCGATCACATCCTGAGAACCCATCTCCCTATTGTTATTTCAAATCATTTGAGACTGTTTGTAGTTGATAATTACAACTAAATCCCCCCATTTGACATTCGTGTCACCCCTTTAATTTGATATGTCTTTTTCCGATAATGTGTATTCCTATGGCTGATTAGACCAGATTTATACTTCTTGATCAAATTTAAAACACGTACCGCTCCCTGTGGGATTCGACCCCAATTCATTTAGTTGGGTTTTATACTGATTTACGATCATTGACACTTAGAATTGGAAGAAATGTCTTTGAAACGTTATTAATCAAGATTGCTACTAGATACCCCGCCTCAACTCACGTATGGGTATCCATCTGAAGAGATTGTTACTAGAAACCCCGCCTCAACTCACGTATGAGTTTCCATCTCAATCAATATACATCTCAACGTAACATCATTCATAAGATAGCTCATAGATTCAATAGGTGAGAATAGTCTTTCAATCCTCAGAATCCCCATATTGTAAGAGAAAGTTCCACAACATGTCAGCTTCATTCATATGTGTATAATCAAGAATAACCTTTTAATCAACACATCATCATTATCATAATCATAGAAACTTCATTCATACTTCATTCACAAGTGTGTGTATATGAGAATAGCCTTTCAACAAAACCACAATTACATCATAGTCATAATCACATTACTCTCAACGTGTTCATAAAACATATACATAAATCTCATAATCATGCATAATTCTCATAAATTACCCTTCAAGGACCATAGATCATGATTCATCAACACATCTAGAATTACTACATAAGATATAGATATGAACATAATTCAAGTAATCAATTCACTACATTCATAATTCTATAACATTCTACTTGCATCAATCAATACCCACACTTTAAGATCCAATTTGAGAAAATAGGGTAATTAATGGATTCTTGAGGAATTCAACTTAAAATCATGTAAAATCATCAATATATCTATAAACAAATATAATTCAACCTTTAAAAATGAATTTGAAAGGAATCCATGAGATTGAAGTCAAACCCTAACTTTTGGATTTTCTAGCTTTGAAATTAGGGGTTTTGAAGGGGCTCTATGGGTGAAGGATACCCATAGATGAAGAGCTACCATACCTTATTGAATATTTCCCACAAATTTGAGGAGAAAAGTTTAATTCTTCAACCCTAGCTTTACCTTTCTTCTTCTTCCTTTGAATTCTAGAGAGAGGATTTTGGGGAAAAGTTGGTTATGGATTTTGGGTTTTGGTATTTATGAGGTGAATGGGTTGATTAATGACTTAAAAATGCTTATATAGGTGAATTAATACTATACAAAATGACTCCACTTAATACTAACTAAAAAGGAAATTACCTAAAGACCCCTAGCCTTGGCCGACTTAAGACAGTCCCCCAGGCCCCATCCACGACCACCACCTACGGGGCGTGGACTGACCCACGACCCGTATTGGTGGGGCGTGGGTTGGGGACTGGGACTTCACACTTGACCCTTGACCCACGAATCTCCACCCACAGAGCGTGGACCAACCTATGGGGCATAGGTCTCATCGGTGGGTCCACTATTTTGGGCAGTTTGGAAGTTTGTTTTGGGGTCCTCCTCAAGGACCCTTGGTTGGTCCTTGGGGAGTCGTACCTTAACTTTAAACCCTTAAACCCTTCATTCTAAGTACGAGATGAAAATTTTACGACTCTAACACTTACGATAAGCTCTAGTTAAGCCTACTAGTTTCCGGGGTGTTATAGTTTGACCCCGCGCAGTAGCAGACTAGAGCAGTGGTACCGACGGGCAACGGTAATAATGGCAGAGGACGTCCCCAAAGTGATCGAGGAGGGAATCAACGAGGTCGTGGAGGTTGGGGAAATGGTAATGCAGGTAAAGGAGTAGTATAGTCAGGCAAAGAGGTTATCCTTCAAGATGACATGGCTCAGTGTTATGCCTTTCTGGGCAAGAGCGAGGTAGAGTCGTTTGATGCAGGGATCACATGTATTAATCTTGTCTGTGACCGGATGGCTACTGTTTGTTTGATCCGGGTTCTACCTATTCATATGTATCAGTTCGGTTTGCCTTGGGATTTGATGCGGTTTGTAATGTACTTGATGCCCCATCCAAGTTTCTACCCCAGTTGGAGAGTCTGTCATAGTCACCCATGTATATCATGCTTGTCCTATTTTTTATGGGCTTTCATACTTGGGCTGATTTGGTTATTTTGGATATGGCTGACTTTGATATAATCTTAGGCATGACTTGGTTGTCCCTATATTATGTTGTGCTTAATTGTAATACTAAGTATGTAACTCTAGAGATCCTGGGTAGGGAAAAGTTAGAGTGGGAATGGGTGTACAAGCCTAAGCCAGCTAAGGTCATATCTTCCATTCGGGATAGGAAATTGGTGAGGCAGGGGTGTTTGGTGTTTTTGGCTCATGTTCGAGATGTTGTTGTTGAGTCTCCCTCTATTTAGTCTATTCCTGTAGTATCTGAATTTAGGGAAGTATTTCATACCGATTTGCCTGGTATGCCTCCGAATAGAGGTATAAAATTTTGCATTGACTTGGAATCGGGCACTCACCCCATCTTCATTCCTCTATATCGCATGGCTCCGACAGAATTGAGAGAGCGTAAGGCTCAAATCCAAGAGCTTCTTGATAAAGGTTTCATCCGTCCTAGTGCTTCCCCGTGGGGTGATCCTGTCTTGTTTTTTAAGAAGAGGGATGGTAGTCTGAGGATGTGCATAGACTATCAACAATTAAATAGGGTCACCATTCGAAACAAGTATCCATTGCCTCAGATTGATGATCTCTTTGACCAGTTGCAAGGTGCGTCAGTTTTCTCTAAAATTAATCTAAGGTCTGGTTACCATTATTTAAAGATTAGGCATGAGGATGTACCAAAAATGGCTTTCCGGACCCACTATGGGAACTATGAATTTCTAGTAATGTCATTTGGGTTGACAAATACACCTGCAACTTTCATGAGTTTGATGAATGGTGTGTTCAAACCATTTCTGGATTCCTTTGTTATCATCTTTATTGATGACATATTGGTTTATTCAAAAAGTGAGGAAGACCATGCTGACCATCTTCGTATATTTTTGGGTGTCCTTGGGAGACAAAAGTTATATGCTAAATTTTCCAAGTGTGAGTTCTGGTGGACTTCAGTTGCCTTTTTGGGGCATATTGTTTCAAGGGAAAGGGTAATGGTAGATCCCCAAAAGATTGAAGCAGTCAGGAATTGGGTCAGGCCTAGTTCTGTGACTACAATGAGCAGTTTTGTGGGGCTCGCCAGCTACTATCGTCGGTTTGTGAAGAATTTTGCTTCCATCGCCACGCATTTGACAAGGCTAACAAAAAAAGAGGGAACTTTCAAGTGGATTGAAAAATGTGAAGAGAGCTTTCAAAAGCTTAAGACTCTTCTGACCACATCACCTATTTTGGCACTACCGGTGGAAGGTAAAGATTCCATTGTTTATTGTGATGCTTCACATTCATGCTTGGGTGTTGTGTTAATGCAGGATAAGAATGTCATAGCTTATGCATCACGGTAGTTGAAGGTGCATGAGCAAAATTACCCGACGCATGATTTGGAGTTGGCAGCGGTAGTATTTACCCTTAAGATCTGGCGGCATTACCTTTATGGGGTCACGTGTGAGGTGTTTACTAACCACCGTATCCTACCACATGTATTCAGTCAAAAGGACCTAAATTTGAGACAACGAAGGTGTATGGAGTTACTCAAGGACTATTATGTTACCATCCAGTATCATCCGGGTAAGGCTAACATGGTGGCAGACGCATTAAGTCGGAAGGTAGTGAGTATGGGTAGTCTAGCTTGCTTGGGTGTATCCAAGCGACCTTTGGCCAAGGAGATTCAGACTTTGGAGTCTAAGTTCATGTAGTTGGGCATCTCAAAGAAAGGTAGGGTGTTAGCTAGCATTGAAGTTAGGCCCACTTTCATTGAGGAGATCAAGGCCAAATGGTTTGAGGATGAGAATTTGAATGAGCTCAGAAAGAAGACAGTGTCTGGCAAGGCACAAGATGCGACTCTTGATGCGGGTGGTCTACTCAGTTTTAAGGGAAGACTTGGTTATTTCAGATGACATATTTGGTGTTGTCTTGGAGTTGTTATAGTATTCCAGTGGTTTTACAGGTACCACCTTGCTTATGAGAATTTATAGAAGAGCTACCATGTGTATTTATGGTTGTCCGACAATCTTAATATTCATCTAGTCGTCGAGGTCATGTATCGATTGTGTGTGGTTGAAGTGGGATCATTGGGTCCAATTCTACAATTTTTAAGGGTAATCTACAATCACAATTACTAATTTAGCATTTCGATAGTGTTGTTAGAGGGTTTGTATGGTTGGACATATTGCTCGATGGGTGGTGTCTTGATTATTTCCTTCTTTGGATTAAATAAGTTTGATTCTCCCTCGATGAGTATCTGATGTCTAAAGATCAAATTTTTATAACTTAAGCTCATGGAAATTTATGTTGTGAGATGGAGATGTTGATAAGAACTATGATTGTTTGGGTATTATGAGTGTGTGTTGGTTGGTTCAGGTTCACCTCTAATTTTAGCGAGTATAGATTTAGGATTTTATCATGGTTATGTGAGAAAGGATTCGTCCTGATGATTGGGTCAAGGTCTGTGATAACATGTTGTAGATGTGGGTATGATCAACTTTGGTGGTTATTGGGAATAGTTGTTGTTGTTAGTTAAGTATGAAGGATGAACCGGTTGCAATTCTTGATTGTGATGTCCAGAAGTTGAGGACCAAGGGGATAAAATCGGTGAAAGTTCAATGGAAGTATCGTCCGGTTGAGAAAGCTACATGGGAAACCGAGAAGGACATGCGGGACAAGTATCCCCAACTATTTGGCGATTCAGATACTACCCTACTCTTGCCAGAGCCAATTTTTCCTAGTTTATCAATCGGAACGAGTGATGGGTAAATTGGTATCTATTGTAACGACATGTTTCCGTCATTATGGAAAAGCCAATTGAACATTAGGATCTTGGGTTTGGACATGGATAGATAGATTGATTATTATCCGGGTAAATTAGGCCTTGTTTATTGATCCTTACGTTAATTAATTGGTTTTAGACCAAGAACAAGCGGAAAAAATCCGAAAAGGGAAGGCTCAAGTGTCTTAGGAGGATTCAAGCTTGGTTTCAAGGTAGGTGATAGTTTGATTTCATGTTTGTGTGAGATATGCCGGTTAATTGCTTCATTGTATGCATACATGTATGTGAATAGGGAAATGTGAATCAAATCCAATGAAAATGAGTATGTGTGAACGATTGCATGCCATGAACCTAATACTTGATTTTATGATTATGAGTAATGTTCATTATGGGTGTGATTGTGATTGTGGTTGTGCTGATTGGATCCGATGTCACCTTCCGACACATATATTGGATCGGGTGTCACGTTCGACACATATATTAGATAGGGTGTCATGTTCCGACACATATGTTGGATCGGGTGTCACGTTCTGACACACTAAAAGTTTAGGTGTGGGTTCCATGAGAGGACCATTGTGATTATTACATTCATGCCTATTGTCGTTGGTATTGGGAACTGCATGTTGCTCTTGAAATGATAACTAATCTATGTATTCTGTATATCTGTGTTTACTGTGCTGTGATTGTTTGCCTATGTTTCGCTTACTGGAATAGCCGCGTGATCCTAACAATACACTGTGGTTTGTGTACTAATAGTTTTTCCGCAATAGTTGTTTGTCATTTATTTGGACTTCCAGAGTTTATGGGAACTCTATATTTCTTTAGTCATTTAAACATGCTTCTGTATCTTTGTATGCTTAAGTTTTTGGTTAAGTTTCTTAGTCGGGTTGTAGTAATGGTTCTCTCACCGGAGGGTTAGTGTGGGTGTCAATCACGACGATCTGGGTCGTGATGTAATGGAAAAATTAAAAATGCTAATTAATCTGTAGAATATGGAGGGATGGAAATTGAAAAGGCAAATATTAATTGTCATAAATTCATCAAACAGTGGCCATATAAATATATATCATGAATAAGAAGAAGTTATGAGGTAAAAATGATTTGTTGTTGTTGGGTATCAATGTTGTGTCCAATGGAATTCATTCAAAATCAACAAACAATTGAAAGTATTTGTTGCTTTCAAAAGGAAATTCTGCATATTGAAAGTTGGTATGTATACTCTGATTCAATGTATTTCCTTCTTTTTTTTAAGTGTGTGTTTTAATGGAATATTGATTCTGAATTTGGTAAAAAGAAATGTTGATATGTATGTCTTTCTTCTATTCTTCATTTATCAATTTACTTAGTATTATGCCTTGAATTTTAAATTTAATAGAAGAAACATTATGATGCGGGTGTTGATGATGTCACCACTCTTGATTTTGCTTTCATAGAATTGATTTATCTGGAATGAAGGTTATAACACTATATCTAGCTTTATTTTATATATAGATGTGAAACAGAGGTTGTTCGACTAACACCTAATAAATATTTCATCATTTTAGATTGAATGAAGCAATTCTTCTATTTAGTTTTTTTTTCATATGTGTATTTGTCTTATATATATTAGTCTTCACATATTTATGTTTTGCTTACTATAGTTTTCTTTTGAAATTTTATTCAACTTCTAAGTAGTTTCATAACGTAATATTTTTAACTAATATATCTATATAATTATATAAAGTTAGGCATTAGAAATGTGATACACTAATCAATAGCAATATATCAAACTTTATTTATACTTGTATGTTGCAAGCTTGTATTTAGTTACAATGTAAATTCAAATGTATTAATTTTATTTTTTCCGGATGAATGCCCTATTTAAATTTTAAGAATAATTGTATCAATTTCATACCAAATTTTGGTAATTTCTTTCATTATATAACATGTAATTGTTTTTTTAAATGAAGAAAGAAAATAGTGTATTAAAAATCAGAATTTGGTCTCATAAATAATGGATACATTTAATTGATTTTTTTTATTCTTTTATTTTTCTTTTTCAATTTTTATCTCTTTATTTTTTTAGTTTTTTTATTTAAGAGAAATGAAAAAAATTATCACCCTTAGAAAACGTTTGTGTCACAATTCATACCAAGAAATAAATACCAAAAAGAGACTTTAGAAAAGAAAAAAAGTGGGTTACGTCTCATATCTTTAAATTACCATAAATTTTTCGTTAATTATTTATTTTATGTTATTTCTATATTCCAAAGTAAAATTGATTGTTTATATTTAACATGGAATATTTTTTACATTCATTCTATAAAAAAAATAGGATGTTGAAAGAAGGGAAAAGGGTTCAAAACACACTCAAACTATGGGCGAAATTGTTGTTACACATGTGAACTTTGCGGGGGGTCCTATGACCCCCCAAACTTACTTTTAGTATATTTTTATGGGTATTATTTGCTTAGTCAGACGAGCAAGTAGACGAACGTGCAAGAGGTGCGTGAGGATGGACTTAAAATTACTGTAACCTATATTTATTCACCACGTAGTAATCAACTTATGACTTTTTTATTTATTTTTGATTAAATATTCCAATTTAGCCGTTGTTCTTAACTAAAACCTCCATTAAAGACACATTGCCCACTTTGGAAGCTCAAAAATCGTTGAAGAGGATTGAAGAGGTAAGCTTTGATTATTATTTTTTAAATTTTTTTTGTCTATATTCGTGTTTAGGGCTTCTAATTTCTTGTCCAATTTTTCTGTATAAAATTAGGGTTAGCTATGGAAGAGGTAAAATTGGATTTGAATAAGATTTGTATAGACAATGAAATCGTCAATTGATTTAAAGGTGGAATCCGAAAATCTGAAATACACACCCATCAAAATCCAAGCAACAACTTTGAATCAGTTGGTTCAAAGTGAAAGATTTGTGTGATTAAAGTTGAATTTGTGAGAAAGAGAAGATGAAAAGTCGTTGACCTATTTTCCCCCTTTTCTAACGTTTTCCTTGACTAAGATATTTTGTAAACGCGCGTGTAGGTAAGCGTTTAAGTTTGAGTGACTTTCTAGTCTGACTAAGCAAATAATACCCATAGAAATATACTAAAAGTAAGTCTGGGAGGTCATAGGGCCCCCACAAAGTTCATATGTGTAACAGCAATTTCGCCCATAGTTTGGGTGTGTTTTGAACCCTTTTCCCTTGAAAGAACAATAGAAAGTTGCTTTGTTTTGTTAAGTTACATTTCTTTTCTAAAAATTTGATATAATATTAATTATCAATCTTATATTATCTTTTTTCTTTTCTTTTTTATATGATTTTTCTTCATTTATAAAAATTTTATTGCGATGAAAAAAGGTAATGAAAAGGTGTAAAGAAAAATGAATATTTATGTGTAATTTATTAATTACTAGTCACAACTTACCATATCAAAGACTTTATTTTACTTTTTCTATAATTAATTCTCAATTTTAAAAAATAATAGCAACTTATTTTGATATTACTTCTATTTCTAATAAATTAGCCTAATATGTGGTTATGAGTTTGTCAATATTTGGCTAGCCTTTCATATTTTATTTTGTTAGAGGATAAAAGAATCCTTACATGCTCCATTTCATTCATCATTTTATTTTATTTAAATAATAAAATTTAATGAACTTGCATTATCTTTAGTTTGTTTGGATTAATATAGTTAGAGGTCGGGCATGAGTTAAGATTGGATGATAGATTATTTCTTTCTTTAAAATGGGTAATTTCATTTGATTTAGAATTTTCTATCCAATTGAAGAGTACATATCACACGTTTGTAGATGATCGCCGGTATGAATGACCGGATAGTATAACTAAGGATAAAGCCAACTATTAAATAAAATTGAGGGATGTTTTTTACACTTCTCCCTACAATTAAATTAAGAGATACTGATAAGATCAAACAATTTAATATAGTGAACATATAATTAATCGAAAAGAAAATTGATTCTAACAGAAGAAACCTTAGCCTTATACAAGAACCAGGTTCTTGTACTTTTGTCGAGAAAACAAAATGTAACACAATAAAACAGAGATTTTATCGTGGAAACCTTCCTACCTCAAGGAAGGTAAAAACCACATCACAATCTTATTCACTTCAAGTTTCACGTCCTTTTCAGGATTACAACTCAAAAGGAACTAACTCTAGTACCTTTAACTCTCCAACGATTAACTATAATCGAAGACTCAACTCTCCAAGAATTCAAACTCGCTTCTTGTTACAATTCTCTCACAACTCTCTCTTAACTCTACCCCCAAGAAGTCAAACCTACTTCTTGTTACAATTCTCTCAAGACTCTACTCTCCAAGAAGTCAAACTCACTTATTCTTACACAATCTAGGTATTATTACAACTCAATAATAAACCTAGAACAAATCAACAAAGATTAATAACCCTAGACTTAAATTGATCAGACTTCAACAATCAATAGTTGAGACTCAAACACAACTAGTGAACCTGGTTCTCATATTGTTGTGACAAAGCGTGAACCTGGTCCTTGTGTTGCTGTGACGAAGCCTTGTGGTTTTGCTCCAATGACTATTGCTCTCAAGATGATGAATTTCGTGAATATGCAATAGGTATTGTTCTGGCTTTGCTGGAAAATTCTCTCAATTTGTGTTTGTGCAAAGACAAATCTTTTTCTTCTTTG